ACTACATTACATTTTGGCTATGGCAACGTTACATATTTGGCGTCCCTGAACCGGTTTTCCCTACATTATTTGGCATCCCTGGGCCGGCTTAATCTACAGTATGTTACATTTGTAGGGGTTTTGTGCATTTACTGGGACAAATATTAATTGTAGCAGTAAGTCACAAAATGATTCTTTGATGCTATTAGAAAACTGACCTTGCGGGATAACTCAGCAACACACAAACAAGTACACTAATACACAACAATACATTTATTAATACATAAAATGTGCATATAAACATAACAGATCTTAAGAGTGAGGGTTAGCAGAATACAAAAGGCATATATTCGATAATGAAGAGTTACAAACCAAGAGGGACATACATCCAGTATACCATTCATTTACAGATTCAGCCATTCAAAGTGTGCGGCACAGGCACGTACCGGGGGTAATTGGCTACGTCATCGCGCATCGTGACTCGAGATGACGCAAAATACCGTGGTACGTGATTGGTTGACCGACAGGGGTTGGTCGGTCGTAGAAAATTTTTAATGTCTTTACTGTGCCCGTTTAAGTATTGAATATTTATATGGAATTTTACCACTAAAGGGAAATCTTAGTAGCTGAGCATAAAAAGAATAGGAGCATACTGTAACGCGTGTGAAGGCCATAAACGATATTAATTTTGGAACACAAAAATACAGTATATGGCTGGTCTCGGTACTTTAAAGAAAACATACACACCAGTATTCCATTTTTCCCTAAACATTTTAAGCATCGAAATCTTTAACTAACGTGATACCGGAGTCAACAAGCATACTTTTAGAATTTGATTAAAAGGGAATATAATATGGAATCGCGTATCTAAAGAAATTAATAATGATATAATTATATTCATGTACCGCAACACAAGAATAGTACATGCTGTACGATGTCTGTTGATAATGTTCTATAGGGCTTTTTCAACACTCCTTATGTGACCTTGCCAGTGGCGCTGTGGGTTAGGGTCCTGACTTACACATCACACGTTGGGTGTTTGAATCCAGCTGGAGCCATGACTTTTTTTTTAACAAACATTTCTTTGAAAAAATAAAATAGGGTTAGTGTTAGGGTTACTGTCACACTAAATCAACAATTGATTTAAGGACGATCTGTCAAAGTGCAATGAAATACAATATTGTTGTTGTTGTTATTGTTGTTTTTATCCTGTAAAGCATTTTGAGAAGCCACCTTTAAAGGCGCTATATAAAAGTGCTGATTCTTATGGAATGTGATTTTCTTTCAGCATGGAAAACCTATTACTTGATTCTTATGGATGCCCGGTTCTGCTGGGGATTCAAAAAAAAAAAACCCATGGAATTGCGTAGAGTATCAAAGGAAATAGCAGTATAACCTTATTCATGCACAAACAGTGGCATGTTACATTATTAATTTGGGTGTCTCCTCTTGCCAGAAATCTCTAAATTGCATTTTGAGTGCGGTTTCTGACCTTTTTTAAATTACAACCCATAAATAAAGCTGATACTCTTTAGACTTTTAATTATTTAAAACTGTATTCCAGCAGCACAATGCACAATGCAACGTAAATTGCTATCTTTTTCTTCTGCATAATAATGTTCACCTCTCTGTCCAGCAAATTAGTAATAATAATGAACTTTATTGTATATAGCGCCTTTAAAGGTGGATCCTCAAAGCGCTTTACAGAATAAAAACAATAACAACAATACTGTTAGA